TTTATGTTACTAACCTCATAAAAATTATAAATAATGTTGTGAACAATCACATAATAGTTAAATCATATTAGAGTAAAATTTATGTTAAGTTTTTCATAAATGCTATAGATAATGTTGTGAGCCATCACATAAGTACATGATTGATAATTGTATTTTATTAATGTCATCGTTTTGTTTCTCATAGGGATTTATACTCGCCAAACTTTATACAATATTAACTTAATAGTAAATATATTATTATTATTTTTTAACTTATATAATTTGCAATATATACACTTGAAGAGTACAAATGACGTCATAGATCGAAAATTTCTATTTTTTGTGATATTTTGTAATTCTATATTGTTAAAATAAGTATTCTTATAGATTTTATTTTTATTTTATTTTTGCATGGTTGTGTATAGTTTTAAACTTTTAAATTGCGGTTTTTATAACTTTTCTAACTTTTGTTTTTCCAATTTATATACCTTTTTTTTTAGCATTTGTCTTTTTATTTATTTTAATTGAGATTTTTATCCTATATGTATTATTTGTTTATTTTATGGTTTATATCATGTCTATATTTTATCTTAAACTTTGTTTTTTATTTATTATTGATAATATTAGAAATTTTAATTTTAATTATTTAATTAGTAACTTGATAATTACTTTCCATTTAAAATTTTCTTTTTCTTAATTAATTTTAAGTTTTAACACATTCTTCATTTGTTCAAAATTAGATACAAAATTATTATATTAGCAAGTTATTATACAAGTTATTAGAAAGTTATCACATTCTGCATACTAAAATTGTCTCATACAAATTATTGTATTAACAAAATCACACTTATAAATATAAAATTTTCTTTTGTCTTTAACTATTTAGATAATTTATAATGGAAAGAATGTATTTTGTAATATAAAAATTTAGAAATATTACATATTTTAGTAGAACGGTTTTTTTTTGTTAATATAGTCCATAATCCTTGTTTAAAATATATTTCTTATTTTTAATTTTTTTTTGTTAATATTAAAAATATTACATATTTTAGTAGAACGAATTTTTTTTTTAATTAGTTTATAATCTTTGTTTAGAATATATTTTTTATTTTCTATTTAATTTTTTTTTGTTAATATTGACACATGTCATAATTTAAATTAAGAATTATACATATCATGATCTCGTGAATAAGAATTTTGCTTACGTGTAGCGTTCTGCGCATCCTCCTTTATAAGATTGTTTGTTAATTTCTTTATGGTTAATTAGTTTTAAATTAAAAAAAGTTATAATCTTATATGGTATCAGAGTTCGATTCACGTTGTCCAATCCAATCCAATTTTAAACCGGTCGCATTGAAATTGGTTTGACTTAAAACTAATCCGGTTAATTTATATCTTTTTTTTTTTTTTCATCCCAAGTAGATACTCTTAGTTTTCCTCTAATCAAAACCTTTTGTCCCACCATGTCTTGGACCAAATCCCTGACATCGGTGTTCTTCTTTCCATTACGAGCATGTAACAATTTAACCATCAACTGTGGATGGTCGAAATCGACGTCTCCGTAATACGG